ATGATGACGCAAACTTCAAAAGAAAACATAATAATTTGAGCATAACAGCCAATTCAATAAAAGAAAAGAGAACTATCTCTATCCAACAACTAAAAAAACTTCTATTGTATTAGAGCGCGAATGTACGCTGTAAATTTTCTTTAAACCCATCATATTGACAATGGATGATTGAAATAGATCGTACAATGAATCAAAACACAGTGAAATTAGTTGTGTGCATGTAGATAAGCTGAACGAACTAGCAGAAAATGGTAGTTTCTCTTTTTTTTTCTTGTTACTTTGGATTTAACAAGACTTATTCACTCAATGCACTAATGAACATGGAAACATACATCAACAAGAGCATGTTGGCAACATTAGAAGCCATCATCCACTCATAATAGGTTGCTATGCATTGTTCTTGTTTGATGGAGCCTGAGGCAACTAAAAAGAAAAACAGAAAGAATAAATAACAAATTTTCTTTTGTCTTATTTTTAAATTTTTCGTTTTTTTTCTCTTTTCTATTATAAATGATGATAATGCAATTCTCTTTTTTTTTTATATATTTCGTTCTTGTTCTTCCTTGACTCATGTTTGATGCATGTACACATAGTTTGCCTGTTACGTTCTGTCAGCAACACTTTTGAAATAAAAATACAGCGATCGGCATAAGAACTCTTGAAGTCGATAGCTACCAGTCAAACAAAAATAAAAGTGCCAACATAAAAAGGAAGAGAAAACCGAAACATATTTCGAGACAGAGATGAAATGTTTTCTTTTGTTGATTCATACAATGTATAATAATCAGGGGTGGCGCGACCGGGGGGTAGTCGGGGGTGCGACACCCCCCCAATCTTCAAAAATTTCTGTTTTTTTGCTCAACAAAATCAGGAAATTTTCTTCCATTTGTCACCAAAAACAATGTTACACCCCCCGAAAAATTGCAGACTTCGTCTTTCTAGTCCAAAAAATTTCGCTACACCCCCCCCAATGTTGGTTGACTCGCGCCACCCCTGATAATAATGTCCACGTTTTCATTGATATATGTAAATTGAAAAAAAAAATCAGAAGACTATCACCATCATCGTCATTATCATTAAAGTGGACGAGAAAAATTCTGAACCAATGGCTAGCGACTCATCATCTACAACAAGTAAGCCAAATAAATCAGTAGCAGCAGCAGGAGCGACAATAGTGGTGAGCAGAAGTACCACACAGTCACGAGCCGTTCGTCGAGTGCTTCAAAATTTTCTTTTGATCTGGTTGGATGAAAATTTCGATGAATCCAAAGACGATTATAAAAAATCAATACAACACCTACATGATATTTCGGCAACAGTCACCTCATTTACAGACGTTGACGAATGTATTGATTTTCTCACTGACATTCACAATGAAAGAATATTCATGATTGTGTCGGGTGCACTAGGACAACATATAATACCAGAAATTCAAGAATGACCACAACTAACCTTCATTTATGTTTTATGTCATAATCAATCGACTCATACGGAATGGATCAAAACAATACCTAAGGTAAAAGGTGTGTATACACAAATTGAACCAATTTGTGAAGCATTACAAATCGACCAAAGAAATTGTGATCAAAATATGATCTCAGTCAGTTTTAATCGTATTGATCCATTATTTATGTATACACAATTGTTAAAAGAAGCACTTTTGGAAATCGAAGATGATGATACAAAATCGATTAAGGAACTTGTTGAATACTGTCGTCTTCAAGGCGATGTTTCCGAAAAAACACTTAAAATGATTGAAGAAGAATATCGTAATCATACACCCATTTGGTGGTACACAGGTCCATATTTTATCTACTCAATGCTCAATCGTGGTCTTCGACTAATGGATGTTGATATTATACTTAAAATGGGCTTTTTCATCCGCCATCTACATCAATATATTACAGACTTACATCGTGAACAGCAAAGTAGCAAAGTAGCCATACCATCGCAATTTCAAGTTTTTCGTGGTCAAGGCTTATCCGTGGAAGTCTTTGAAAAAATGAAGAAAACTAAAGGTGGACTTATGTTGTTTAATAATTTTCTGTCGACAAGTCGTAATCGTAAGATTTCTTTCGAAACCTATGCACGATCGACAGCATTCAATACGAATTCAGTTGGTATTCTCTTCGTTATGAACATCGATACGGCCATTTGCACAGCTTCATCGACACCTTTCGTCAACGTCAAAGATATTGGCTTCTACGATGATCAAGAAGAAGAAATTCTTTTTTCGACACACACAATTTTTCGTGTCGACCGCATAGAACGTATTGAAGATAAGCATACAGATCGCCTCTGGCAAGTTAATCTCACCCTCGCTAGTAATCAAGACGATGATTTTAACAAACTTACAGCACATTTACGTGAAGAGCTTCACGTCGCGGGAACAGGATGGTCTCGACTGGGTTCTATTCTTATTAAGTTGGGTGAGCCTGCAAAAGCAGAACATCTCTGTCAGCTACTCCTTGAGAAGGCATCTTCTGATGAAGACAAAGCGCAGTGTAATGATGAACTTGGCACGGTGTACAAATACATAGGAGAATACTTGAAAGCAATAACATTTTATGAAAGGGCAATCGATATCTACAAGAAAATGAGCCCTCCGAGTCAGCTCAACTTGGCTTCTTGCTACAACAACATCGGTTCGCTGTATAGAGATATGGGCGAGTACTCGAAAGCACTTTCATCGCATGAACGATCACTTGAAATCCAAAAAATAGCTCTCCCTCCGAATCATCCCGACTTGACTAGTTCCTACAACAACATCGCTGTGGTATATTATAACATGGGCGAGTACTCGAAAGCACTTTCATCGTACGAACGATCACTTGAAATCCGAAAAATAACTCTCCCTCCGAATCATCCCGACTTGGCTGGTTCCTACAACAACATCGGTTTGGTGTATTATAAAATGGGCGAGTACTCGAAAGCACTTTCATCGCATGAACGATCACTTGAAATCCAAAAAATAGCTCTCCCACCGAATCATCCCGATTTGGCTACTTCCTACAACAACATCGGTATGATATATGATAACATGGGCGAGTACTCGAAAGCACTTTCATCGTATAAACGATCACTTGAAATCCAAAAAATAGCTCTCCCTCCAAATCATCCCCACTTTGCTCAATCCTACCACAACATCGGTTTGCTGTATAATAACATGGGCGAGTACCCGAAAGCACTTTCATCCTATGAACGATCACTTGAAATTAAAAAAATAGCTCTCCCTCCGAATCATCCCGACTTGGCTGGTTCCTACAACAACATCGGTATAGTGTATAGAAAAATGGGCAAGTACTCGAAAGCACTTTTATTGTATGAACGAGCGCTTGGAATCCAAAAAATAGCTCTCCCTCCGAATCATCCAGACTTGGCTGATTCCTACAGCAATATCGGTGCAGCGTATTATAACATGGGCGAGTACTCGAAAGCACTTTCATCGTACGAACGGTCACTTGAAATCCGAAAAATAGCTCTCCCTCCGAATCATCCCGACTTCGCTCAATCCTACAACAACATCGGCGCCGTGTATTATAACATGGGCGAGTACTCGAAAGCATTTTCATCGTATGAACGATCACTTGAAATCCAAAAAATAGCTCTCCCTCCGAATCATCCCGATTTGGCTACTTCCTACAACAACATCGGTATGGTATATGATAACATGGGCGAGTACTCGAAAGCACTTTCATCGTATGATCGATCACTTGAAATCCGAAAAATAGCTCTCCCTCCAAATCATCCCCACTTTGCTCAATCCTACAACAACATCGGTTTGGTGTATAGAAACATGGGCGAGTACTCGAAAGCACTTTCGTCGTATGAACGATCAATTGAAATCCGAATAATAGCTCTCCCTCCGAATCATCCCGACTTGGCTTCGTCCTACAACAACATTGGTATAGTGTATAGAAACATGGGCGAGTACTCGAAAGCACTTTCATCGTATGAACGATCACTTGAAATCCGAAAAATAGCTCACCCTCCGAATCATCCCGACTTGGCTTCGTCCTACAACAACATCGGTATAGTGTATAGAAACATGGGCGAGTACTCGAAAGCGCTTTCATCGCATGAACGATCACTTGAAATCCAAAAAATAGCTCTCCCTCCGAATCATCTCGACTTCGCTCAATCCTACAACAACATCGGTGCGGTGTATGATGACATGGGCGAGTACTCGAAAGCACTTTCATATTACGAAAAAGCACTACAAATCAAGAAGATTGCTCTTCCCCCAGGACATCCAAGTACTGCACTTACGGAAAGAAACATTGAAAGTGTAAACAAGAAAATGTAATTGGTTTTTTTTAAACAAGAAAATAAATGCGCCTTCTTAATCACTTAGCTCGTCTCAGCGCACCAGCTGCAACAAATTTCGTGCACGCGCGACCAGGGATACCCTCCATATTCTATTGGGTTGTACAGTGGACAAAGCTGGCAATGATAGGGCAAACATACATTTATGTATGTATGACTAGTACATTCATGATCATCATTTTCGGAAAGACGATGATTAGATGGATGCTTGTAGTCATACATACATAGATGTATGTTATGAAGACCTACTATCTGCACGCCTGTACAGGTTACGAACAGAACGTCGGATATCCCTGGGAAGGTTCAATTATTTTAGAGCCACCCTCGAAAGCTCTATTAGTTTAGAAATTTTTTTGTTCTTCTGTTATGAAGAACGAGAAGAAATAGAAATGGAAAGAAGAAAAGGTATGAAAACGGAAAGACGCGATGAAAGACGAACGTCGACAGAATTATAATACGCAGTGCACGATAACAACCGGTGTTTGTCAAGCGATGAAAAATCGACTGCACGATATCTCGGTTATCTTTAAACATTTCGTGTTTAATTCGTTTGTGACTTCATCTCGAATGTGTAAGAACAACCCAGGGCGAACTCACCCTGCCGGATCCTATCGGATCCGTGATTATCCGACAGTCGGATCCGATGGGATTCCGACGGTCGGAAACCTTCACTATCCGTTAATTTCCGACGTCGGATATTGTCGGATTCTGTTGGATTCCGGCGACAGGATCCGATGAGATCCGATAGTCAGAAATTGTCGAATCCGATGAAAACCGATGACATCCGATAGGTGGATATCGTCGGATCCGATGAAATTCGATGACATGAAAGCATTTAATTTCGCCTATTGTAATTTTTTATTTTTAGATTGTTTCCAATGATAAATTAAACAGCAAGTGTTAATTTATTTAAATAATTTATAGTCCCTAGACTGAAAGGCTAGGGTCTAGAAACCGTAATTCACCTGTGTCTGTTTGTCCGTCTGTCTGTAACAAGCGTTTGGCACAAATGACCATTTTGTGGCACAAATAGCTATTTCCATGGCACAAATGACCATTTCTATGGCACAAATGACCATTTCTATGACACAAATGACCATTTCTATGGCACAAATGACCATTTCTATGGTACAAATGACCATTTCTATGGCACAAATAACAGTTTTCATGGCACAAATAACTATTTCCATGGCACAAATGACCATTTCCATGGCACAAATGGCCATTTCCATGGCACAAATGATCATTGTCATGGTAGAAAGTACCATTAGTCGCGGCAGACGTTGCTGTTGCCATGATACAAAGTATCAGAGTCGTGGTACAAGTAAGCATATTGATGGTGCAAAATACCAAAGTCGTGGTACAAGTGACGATTGTGATGATGCAAAGTATCATTTCCATGATACAATTGACCGTTGTCATGGTACAAAGCACCATGGACCGTGGTACAAATGACCATTTTTATGGTGCAAATGATCGTTGTGATAGTGCAAAGTAGCATAATCGTGGTACAAGTCACTGTTGCTATAGTGCAAAGTATCGTGAGTCACGGTAAAACTGGCCATTTATTTTGGCATAATTAACCGTTCTTGTGGCTCAACTCAGTTTCTACGATACAATCAGCCATTTCTATGGTACAGTTGATCATTGTTATCTGCTAAATGAGTGTGTCTGTGTCACCACTAGTGACCGGCGTGACTGCCGTGACTATCAGTGAGTCACGGTCACGGTCACGGTCACGGCCGTGACCGTGCGTGACTTTTTTTAAAGATCGTGACCGTGACCGTGACCGTGACTGGAGCTTGGTCACGGTCAGTCACGGGAACTTTCTCGAAATTTTGGAAATCCCTGAGGGGGAGTAAGGGGACCTTCGCGAAGCTACTGTCTCCCACCCGCTCATCAGTTTTTATGAATAATTTGGAAGTTTCTAGTTTTCGTGATTTTGGAAACTCCTGAGGGGAGGCACGGACACCTATGCGAAGCTACCCTCCTCCGATCATCACTTTTAATAGCAAACAGAACCCTAGTCTCAATCCTGTTCATTCTTTTAGTAATTCTGCAAGGATCTGTCAGGATTCTAAATCTCCAAGATCTTATCAAGTTTTCCTCAGGATCCCGGCTCAATTCCTGATAATTCCTGCTGCCGAGATTTCTCACAGTTATACAGGATCCTGTTTAGGATTTCTTTCCGTATCTGACCAGATATGTTTGTAGATAATGAATATAAGATCCTTTAAGGATTCATTCATGATCCTGCTTAGGATCCTAATAGGGATAATGGAGAGGATTCTCTCAAGATTTTATCAAATTTTAGACAAGATCTGATGCGGATCTTGATACAAGGATCCAGTCAACTTTTGCAGCTAAAACTGAGGAGCGTCGCAACAAAAAGTCAACAAGAGAGCATATCAGTGACTGTTCTTGTCAGTTAATACAAGTAGAACTTCTGTTCATACCCACAACCACATCTTGTTTTCTAAATTATTCTAGGTTAAACAACAATGGTAATCTGGTCAGGGTCCTGATGTAATCCTTTTTCGAATCCTGCTGGGATCTTGAAATTCCGTGGCTACACACTTCTTTCAGGATTTCATCGTTTCCTCAGGAAAAAAGAGTGAATTCTGGAAAGATGCTGACTGAATCCATAAAGAACCTGGGACGGAAACATCAAAGATTTTCCCTAGGGAAGCTTTGCAATTGCTCTTTCTGGAAAGGTTTTTTTCATGTTGAGAAACCAGAAAGAAGGGCCGTGACTCACGGTCACGGTCACGGTGAGCCCAGCCCGTGACCGTGACCGTGACCGTGATCAACCCCTCGTGACCGTGACGTGACCGTGACCAAAAAAGTTGGTCACGCCGGACACTAGTCACCACTAGCTAGATCCGTATTAGAAATGACCAGTGCTATTGGATAAATAACCATTGCTAGTCCTTAGAATTAACTATCTCATGTGCTTTATCAAATTCATTGGGATCTTGCAATATTTTATGCCGCTGTTTGAATATATCTTTAGTATGTAATATACAACATTTTGCAAATATCAATGACTTGTCCTAAACTGATCATTGAGCAGAATTCATTTTTATTAAAAAACATAAGGATATCTGTGTCATCATTCCGTCAGTCTAGGGCCCAGTGAATCGACTTTCAATGTCGATGAACCTTACTTGTTTTTTATTTTAGATTATTTACAACGATAAATCAAAAAAAGTAAGTATTTATTTATTAAAATAATTTTTATTTTTCATTTTAGATTGTTTCCAAGGATACATCAAAAAGTAGGTATTAATGTATTTAAATAATTTATATTTTTTATTTTAGATTATTTACAACGTTAAATTGAATGGGATGGCACTGATTAATCTGACCGAATAGCCGAATTTTATTTTTATCATACTGTTGCTATAATGTATCAGATAACTATGATTTTTTTACCAGCTATAGTACTCGTATGGTGCCATACAAGTACTATAACTGATAAAAAAATCATATTTACCTGATACATTATAGCAACAGTATGATAACACAGGAATTTAGCCATCCAATCAGACTAATCAACTCAATATATATTTTAGGTACTGCAAAATAAAAAGCTAATGAGTGCAGCATGGGTGCTGTACGTAATATCTGGTTTATCCATAGAAATCTAGTAGGATCCCGTCGGATCCTGTACTTTCCAAGATCTTCCGGCTGTCGGAAATCGTCGGATCCGACATCCGACAACTTCCGACTGGATTCCGCTACCAAGGATTCCGACAACTTCCGACACGGATCCTGCCGGAAGTTGTCGGATTCCCGTCGGAATTTATCGGATTAAGCCAGATTTCCGACAGGATCCGACGGGATCCGGGATCCAGAATACTCGTCCTGGGAACTCAATATCTTATCGAACAATTGATGATTGAACGAAAGGAACCGAAAAAAACGTATCAATCTAAGACATTTTATTTTAATTTTTATTATCTCAACTGTAAAGTGAAAATTTGTCGAATTGTTTTTTTCTGATTCGTAACCAAGGTTTTATTTTAAAAACACTTCATAAGAAAAAAAAACACTATTTTGTATGCCATGGCGTCCTAGATGAAAAAAAACCTCAATCTATCATATAAAAATTAAATATTGGTTAGGATATTATTGTTTTGAAGTGTGTGAGCTGGTATCAATTAATTAGAACTGGAATGAATACTTATAATTATTCGAGAAAAAATATTTTATATTATCCATTTATCGTTTGTTTTTGCAGTACGACAAAATGTTAATCATATAAATTAGGAAAGAGACTAATCAAATATAGACTAGTTGTCATATTTTACTATTTTCATCATGAGACAGTGTTTTTTTTTTACTTATGATAGTCGTTCCAAGCATCAGTTCTTTCGAGAAAAGCAAGTGGTGTCGAAAATACAAGAAACAACTCATTTTCATTCAAGGTCATTTAAAAAGTATCGCGATATATCTTATCAATAGTGATCTCGTCTTTTATTGTATAAAACGAAGATTATACGACATCGATTTTATTAGTTGATTCTCAAATAATCGATGATGAACACGAAGATGAAGAATTATTTGATCATATTCATAAGAACTCTTTATCAAAAGTTAACACTGTAGTTACTAAAGTAACTGGTATAGATGAAGCTGAATTAAATGATTTAATTGAACTATGATTGATATCTCACCTTGGTAGGTAAAATAAATGAAATTTAATTTATCAATTGAAAATGAAAGAAAAACTGAATTCAACCTTTAAGATTCATCAACTCATTCAAATTATATATCTTTATTTACATGACTATTTCAAAAAGAGTTCTAATTATTTATAGATTGAATATGAAAATTCAATTAATATTGATCTATTTAATGCTTTTATTGATGATAATACATATTCATATTGTTTTAAACAAATTGATAAAAATAATCCATACTTCTCGGACTTCTCATATAGTTAATCTCGATGACTTATGACAAATGACAGACCAA